ATATTGCACATCTACACTTTTCTCTTACTCTTATACAGAACATGTCTGGATAGATACATTGGGGTTGCCATTACCACCTTGTTTTTTTTTTTACAGGTTCTCTATCAAACTAGCTAGTGACCTGGAACAAGTAAGCAGCCAGTGAAGTGCCCCGTACTTGTTTCCGGTTCTAGCAAGTTTCTGGGGGGGGGTTGAAATTGTATAGCTCTGTAAGCTCCGACTTCCACAATGCATGAAATAAACAACAGCAGCCAATATCTAAAGCTAGACTTCAGGAAGACAACGAAGACACGAACGAATGTAGCTCTCTACTCGTGACATGTATTTTCTTACACGAGCAGTGTTAGTACCTGGCTTGATACCAGCGTCTTGCATTGCCTGTACAACAGCTTAGATTGGGTAGGGGAGGAACAGCATAAGGTGCCAAGTCAGCAGTGACGTGAGTGACCGAGACATGGCAGAGGTCCGCTGCTTCTCCTTTCACTGTCCAGTCATAGGTTTGCTTGGTATGGCTGTGCTGTGTAAATCCCAGGACTGGATGGACAGAAATACAAATCCTCTGGCAGGTAACATGATTATTTAATTCTGTGTATGTAGCTATTTGTTTGAAAGCCCGCTGTAAATGGGAATATGGTACTTGTTTTATTTCAATAAAAGGATACCACCCCACCTGCTTCTTTTCGGTTGTCCTTTGTGTGTATAAGACTTGGTCTAATGTTTTGAGTAAATGGTTCGATGCAGCAGAGGAACTCGAGAGCAGATCGGTATAAAATGTCTATGTGCAGGCTATCGGGTGTTTTCCCTGGCTCCATCATGACAGCTGGGAAAAGAAGAAAAGATCATAACATGCAATGTAGAAGATTTCCAGGTGTATGCACTTCAGCGTGTGTTATGTACATTTAGGAAAGTTCCCTGACATATGATTTCATAGCATGGCTTGTAGACAGAAACAGGTAGACCTGTCACGGTTATGTGGTGCAGAACAGAGCTGGAAGGTCCATGCTATGAGCTTGGGGAGTAGGAGAACAGTGTATCCAGATGAGGTAGTTACAGGGTAGGGAAGAGCTCAAAAATATCGAACAGAAATGTTGCTTTCCATAAACTATAGCCATTTATTTTGGATTTTCATTGGTCTCATGGTTTAAATTCGGAGCTAGATCAGTTTCAGTCACCCTTCCATTGGGCAAATGTATTAACGAATGACGTTTTGGGCAATTGAAAGAAGCCGGAGGTTGGAAACCTTTGGGGCACACTAGAGACAGTCATGGTAACTGTGTACACTAACCATTTGATATGCCGTACTCTCTCTGAGTCAAATAATAATTGGCGCTGTAACGCCGTATTCCCTTGTCATGAAAACAAAACCATTTTATGTAACATAACAAATACCCCATGCCGTATGTAATGTGCGTTCCACCCTGGTATCTACTGTCCACCCCAGTAAAAGGATCCCCAGACTCTTTCCAACCCCTGTAACATGTGGCCCCCAAACTTATCCTACTCCAGTATTGTGCCCCAGAAACCATCCCAGTCCAGTAGTTTGTCCACATATTCCACACCAATAATATATATACTGTCCTGTCCTGCTCCAGTAATATGTGTCCTAGAACTTACCCCACCACTGTAGTATGTTCCCTAGGACTTTTCCCTCCCCAGTGACATGTAGCCCAGAACCTACCTCACCTCAGTTAAATGTGCCCCGGAACCTACCTCACCTCAGTTAAATGTGCCCCAGAACCTACCTCACCTGAGTTAAATGTGCCCCAGAACCTACCTCACCTCAGTAATATGTGCCTCAGAACCTACCTTACCTCAGTAATATGTGCCCCAGAACCTACCTCACCTCAGTAATATGTGACCCAGAACCTACCTCTCCTCAGTAATATGTACCCCTGAACCTACCTCACCTCAGTAGGATGCGCCCCAGAACCTACCTCACCTCAGTAATATATGTTCCTGAACCTGTCGTACCTTCTAGCAAAAATTAATCAACGTGGTCCTTTATCAAACTCTCAAGTATTAGAAGTTAAACTTTCCGGTCTGTAATTACTTTAAATACTTTGATTCCTTTTTAAATACAGGCAACACATTTGCCGTGGTACCATGCCAGTCATAAAAGAGTCTCTGAAACAATGGCTTTGAAATAACAGAGCTCAACTCTTTGAAGGCACATGGGTGTAAACCATCTGGTCCAGGTGCTTAATTCACCTCTATTATGTCTAACTGTTTCTGGAGCATTTTAGCCAAATATGTGGCAGAAAAGACTACTCAGTAATATGTGTTGCAGAACTTGTCCCACCCCTAATCTATGTGCCTCAGAAACTGTCCTGCCCCAGTAATATGTGTCCTAGAACTGATCCCACCACAGTTTTATGTGTCACAGAACCTATCCCAGTATTAGGTGGTACAGATCTCTCATGCCAGTAACATGATAACACAGAGTCTTCCCCACACCAGTAGTAGAAGCCCTCTTAATTCAGTAATGTGTAGCGTGGAACCCTTCCCACTCTAGTATTATGTGCTAAAGAGTCAATTTTACACTAGTAATATGTGACACAATACATTGTCAACCCAGCAATATGCAACGTAGAGCCTAACCCCATTATATTTATCTTATAGCCCCTCCTACCACAGTAATATGTGGCATAGAACCTATCCCCACAATGTGTATCTCAGAAACCCTCCTACTCTACTAATATGTGGCACAAAACCCCCTCCCTGCTATATGTATCAAAGAACCCTTCCAACTCCAGTCATTTTTTATTCAGAACCTGTCTCCATAATTGATATCACAGTACCCTTCCCTGTAATATGTATCACAGAACCCTTCCCTCCTCAGTATTGTGCATCACAGAACTCCCACCTCTGTATTATGAGACATAGATCCCGTCCCCCTCAGTTATATCTAGCACAAAACCCATCCCCATAATATGTGGCCCAGAACCCCTTCAGTTCCAGTAATATGTTACATAGAGCCCATATATCAGACTTTCTCCCATCCTAGTAATATGGGTCATAGAACCCCTACGATTCATTTTATAAGTAGGGGTTATGTAGGTTGAAACAGAGCCAAGCTCTCTAAGCCCCCATGGGTGAATTTCATTTTATCACTTAACCACATTAACCTAATATTAATCACATTACTGAATAACTCAGGTAAGCACAAATGAACTGACCATGCAGCATATACCTAGTTGGTTAAAAAAAGTTTTAAAAAAACACTGATGCTTTGATGTTTCTAACAGCCATACACGTAGGAGTATTTAAGCAATTCGGATCAGTTTCTCTTCAGCATTTCATAGCTTTCTGTTGTGATCCAGCATTCTCCCTCACTGACTCTGATAATAAGGAGGGGTGGGCACATAGACAACTCATATATTTCCGGGGGTGCCTGTTGAGGATCACCTAATTGTTAATATATATTATACTGAGAGCTGTATGTACTTCTGCTATTACAAGCTTTAGAATGTTTTGTTAAGAATAGAATTATTGGTGTAGTTTTGTCACCATCAACTGCCAACCTTTGGCAGCTACGAGAGGCAGAATCAAAGAATGGAGCAGGACATGTGAACGTCCACATGCCTACAAGTACATTTTACTGGTGCAATAAAGTGGAATTGAAGTATCCCGCTGACAACTGTTTCACCAGACAGGATGTGGGTAGGAATCTGCAACAGGGACACAGGCAAATAGAAATGTGACAGGGGTTCTAGCCTTCCCCTATTCTTCTAAAGAAAAACATCTTCATGTATTTTTGTGTTAGCTTTGGAGAGTTCCCGCACTTCCTGTCTGATAAACATGTGTCAACAGGACAGGAAGTGAGGGTAGCAGTAAAAAATCTGACAGGGGTTCTAACCCTTTCTCTAGCTAGCCAATACTAAGAAAAAACGTTTTTGGCTAACATACACTTTGAAATACACGGGTCCAGGCTGCTGAGAATTAAAATGTGTCTGTAGATAAAAGATAACCTAAGCTCTCACAGCACTCATGGATGTATGCCTTAAAGTCAGCAGGGTAAATCGAAGATTTTGCAGGGACTGTCGTACAAAATAGATGCAACTTGCATACAGTTTGAAGCCTCCATCCTAAAAGGAAAAACTTTTTCCTGTAACTGTTTAAAAAGAGTTACCCGGAGTTCAGCTTTATCTCATTACTCCAGTCCATCTAAATCCTCTAGCCCAGTGGTTCTCAACCTGTGTGACCTCAGGACCCACATATGTCCTTGGTCTTTAAGTCGTGACCCAAATCGCACTGCAATAGAACGCACGTCATTAGGGTAGTGCGTTTTCCGGGGCAGGGGCATAGGAACTGTGGGTGGGAGGTACGTTTGCGTTGCCATTCAAATGAATGACAACGCAACACACCTCTTACACTAGAATGCAGGGTAGGTGCAATTGCGTGGTGTAGTGTGTTAATTGCATGCTACTATGTGATTGATGCACTGTACTAGTGTGAACGGAATGAAGCTCTCTCAAGGCCATAGCACCATCCCACCCCACCTCATGCTGACACTTGGCTGCTTGGCACAAGAACTGACAGTGCTGCACTGGGGGAGCCAGAGGAGCCTCTCACTTAGAAAAGTTGACGGCTTGCGGCGACCCACTGAAAACGGGGTCACGACCCACTTTTGGGTCATGACCCACCAGTTGAGAACCAAGGCCCATCTTACAACACCCTCTCCACAGGGTGACAAAGTTGCTGTTCCTCCATAGATACAATGGAGGAGTGAGCGTAGCCACCCTGAGACAAGAAGTGTGGTGCTGGCTGGATCACCAGGTGAAAGTAAAGAAAACTAATGCAGCCGCCACATCCAAGGACTGGTAAGCTGCAATATATGACATTCTTGTCCTTGGGCTTAGATTTGTGTGAAGTATTTGCAGGTTACGATAACTGAACGGTTGTAAAATACACAAATCTGAAACAATGTTGAGATTTTGGATGTTGTGGACTGATTATATTTCACCATGCAAACATTGATCTGTCCTGTTTGTATCTGCAAGGATGGGACAGTGTGAAGCCTTCTGTCGTATCAATGATTGAGCGGGGAGAGGAGCCATACTTGCCCGAGATGTGGCCGTCTGAGAAGGAGATGATTCTGGACAGTTATAATGCAGGTCAGTCACTTGCCATGGACTAAGCCATCTGTCTGCCTAGTGGTGGATAGAAGAAGGGAGGGTTGCATTCCTTGGCACCTTTTTTTTGCCATACGGAGAGATTTCCCTTCACTTCCTGTCTAATGGCCACAACAGGAAGTGAGGGAAATCTCTCCAAAGTGATTCAAATCCCTGGAGGTCAGCAGTGTCCCCATTGGAAGACGGCCACGAGGATACTGCATCAGTGTTTTATTGCTTCTTCTGGGTCCCTGCTAAGCGCCTTCCCTGTGCTGTTAAAACACAGAGTCGCTCGCTAAGTATAGCGGCCAATCAGAGAACACTAGGCGTTATCTGATTGTACAAGGGGTGGTGCTGTGATGCCAGCCCTTATCGTCCAATCAGAGAATGCCTAGTATTGTTTGCTGGTATCTGGCCATCTCCAGGAGATCCTCACTTTAGCAGCCAATCTCCACCCACAGTTTAATCGTTCCGTTATCTGCCTATAGCAGGTGCAGGCAACCTCGGCACTTCAGCTGTGGTGAAACTTCAAATCCCATCATGCCTCTGGCAGTCATGTCTGTGGCTGTTTTGCAATGCCTCTTAGGACTTGTAGTTCCACAATAGCTGGAGAGCCGAGGCGGCCTACCCCTGGCCTATAGCAACATTGTAGCCATATTAGTGAACAGAATGGATGATATCTACTCGTGTCCTACTATTTGCAAAGAGCAAATCTCCAGGTGTGGGGGAGTCCTGTGTGCTTCCAGGTGTGGGGAAGTCCTGTGTACTGCCAGGTGAGGGGAAGTCCTGTGTACTGCCAGGTGCGGGGGAGTCCTGTGTGCTGCCAGGTGTGGGGAAGTCCTGTGTGCTGCCAGGTGTGGGGAAGTCCTGTGTGCTGCCAGGTGTGGGGGAGTCCTGTGTGCTGCCAGGTGCGGGGAAGTTCTGTGTGCTGCCAGGTGTGGGGAAGTTCTGTGTGCTGCCAGGTGTAGGGAAGTCCAGTGTGCTGCCAGGTGTGGGGAAGTCCTGTGTACTGCCAGGTGCGGGGGAGTCCTGTGTGCTGCCAGGTGTGGGGAAGTCCTGTGTGCTGCCAGGTGTGGGGGAGTCCTGTGTGCTGCCAGGTGTGGGGGAGTCCTGTGTGCTGCCAGGTGTGGGGAGGTTCTGTGTGCTGCCAGGTGTGGGAAGGTTCTGTGTGCTGCCAGGTGTGGGGAAGTCCTGTGTGCTGCCAGGTGCGGGGAAGTCCTGTGTGCTGCCAGGTGCGGGGAAGTCCTGTGTGCTGCCAGGTGTGGGGAAGTCCTGTGTGCTGCCAGGTGTGGGGGAGTCCTGTGTGCTGCCAGGTGTAGGGAAGTCCCCGGTGCTGCCAGGTGTGGGGAAGTCCTGTGTGCTGCCAGGTGC